TAAATAAGATGTAAGTAAATGTCCCTCCTGCCTGTGAAGAACATATTGTCAAAATGTTTAACATATTTTATCACAGCCCAAGTAAGTTTCTGAGGCTAAATATTATTCAAACCTTGATTTCTATTCCCAGTGTGTAATGTTTAGTAAATAATACTCTTCTTTGACTTGCAGCAGAGATGTTGCAGCTGCAATTTTCTTTACTGTCTTTTCCTGGCTTTGTGAAATAAATCATCACCACTTTATGGCAGTAAACAGAAAGGTAAACATTCATTTCTTTAGCATTTTGTTTCATTGTCAGAATAAGTGCCAGTATCTATGCAACTTAAATAAATGTGAAATTACGTTTTCCCTTTTTCTGTGCCAACAAATACTGACAAAAGCAGGTAACCTACAACTCTCATCTGAAAATAAGACAAACAGTGAAGGTGGTAAATCTGCTGTCACTCAGACTGATTTTGCCATCACTCAAAATTCATCCTGGACCATAAAAAGAAAAAAAGAACAATGCTGGTGAAAGTAATTAGGAAATTTCTGTTCTGGAATTACTAAGGTAGTAGAGCCTAATCAGATATGTTCCATGAAAGGGATAAATGCAGAGCTGTGATAGACAAATCTCTCAGTAGCTGCCAAGAGCTGGCCTTTGAAAGTAGAGTTGTTGGCAGACAGTGGTTGGATGTGAGCACCCAATGGCTCTGCATGAAAAAAAGGGAGCCTGGGACCTAACTGTTCAGTATTCAGGACCAAAAGAGTAACCAGCTGAGGGGATATGTGGGTTCCACAGGAGGGGCTTAGGGACTGCAAGGGTAGAAGCAAGACATATTAGAGGTCTGTATCTAACAGTACTGAAACACACACACACGCAGGTTTCAAATAGATCACTGGGCTCTCCCAAAAAGTGTGTGTTATGGGGAGGGGGAGTAAATAAATAGCCCAGGAAATGAGCCTCCATGAAGGGCCATGGTTCTCCCATCATAGTCTACATCTCTAATTATGTGAGCTGTTCCATTTTTGTAGACAAGTATACCAGTGCAGGATCTCATTAAAGCCAATGGGGATTCATTCTATTTTGGTCTGGGTTGTACTCATAAGCACCAGTTTAGCTGATCAAGTCTTTGCAGTATAAGTGACTCAGTCAAATACTGTCCCTTATTCTGCATTGTACAGTATCTAGTTCATTAGAGGCCTGTTTCTGACTGCAGTCTCTGAGCATTACTGCATTATCACTGTGCAAACATAATGAATAAATATTTTTAAGTTCTTAATAAATGCGTGAAGAGAAACTGAACCAAATTCGGCTGTAAATGTTGACCCAAGAAAACCTGAAATAGCCTACAGCTCTTCTGTGTTCAGCCATACCAAAGGAAATTCCTGAAAGGCTCAAGATCTGAATGACTGGCTGAACTGATGGGCAGACATCTTATGGCAATAGATTGAAGCTAAATTCCTCTGTTGTTACTTCCTGATCTGGCAGTAGCTTTGATACCATTGTGGACAAACCATTGTTGATTCAGCACATGTTATGGCCATAAGCTGGCTATTCGTTGTGCTCTGAGACAAGTGTGTTGAGCAGGTTCTTCCCCTCCCCAAGACGTGTCATTGTTGCTCTCATCTAACGTGCAGGATGCTGTAAACTGACACAGGCGGCAAAACCCAGAAATGTTTTAGCAGTTCACAACTGTTTAAACAACAGTGTAAACAGATTTTTACTTTAGTAAAAAGGAGATTGGAGTCTGAAAGAAGGACAGCTGGCTTAACCTGAACCAAAGAAAAACCTAAGACCATTTCCCAGTCTGGGAATAATGACCCTAAGTAGAGTTACAATCTGCACAGGGCTCCTAGTTCCCCACAAACCCACAGCTACCCTATGTGACCACAGTTAAGAGAAAGCAGGAATTAACAAGAGATGGGAATATCTCAATTGCTTCAGAAAACCTATTTGTATGCCCACTCCTCTCACAGTAAATGATAGAGAAGTTGGGTCAATGCATTTCCATTTCATTCAGGAGTAACCTGTCTGACTTAGCTGTCATAGTAAGACAATAGTGGGCACAAGGGACAGTTGTCATGGACCAGCTGAAGAGGGGTCCACTAACAGTGGTAATTGTGTTGCATGAAATTATCTGAATGTATGTGGGGTCATGAAGGGGAAAAGTTTGGGAAATACTCAATTAAGAGCCCTTATTGGAAGAAGGCATTCTTCACAGAGCTGGTGAGCACCTCAAGAAACCTGTCTACATCAGGTTAAGAAACTGTTCAACCTTTGAATCCTGCTGAACACGTTACTGAACTTTGCACCTAGATACCACAAGAGCTTCCTTCTGTCTTAAACCTGGCTATAAACTTGAGGTAGCAGGGAAGAAAGATGTCTCTATCCCCTAGCCGTAGGTCTTGGAATGCTCTCCTAAAGGAAGACAAAGGGAATCCTTGCCATTTTCCACTTCTCCTGTAAGTCATTGTCATCATAATAGACCCTGAGAAAAAGAAAAAAAGTGGAGTCATTTTCTCCTGTGTCTTATGTACAACTCTCTTGTCTGTACATCCCAGAATGAGATTTGTAGCTTTTACAACAGCATCATATTGTTGACTCATAGTCAGTCTGGGTTTCACTATAACCCCCAGATCTGTTGGGGGAAAAAAATCCCTTTCTGTTTTAAAAAATATCCTTTTTGCCTTGACTGAGTATGAAAAAACTATGAGATGTTATTTTAGCTAAACGGTGTCAGCAAATAAGCCTTAAATCTAATATCCTTTCTCTTCTTGTCACTGTCGATGCTGAGTTGCTGTCTCAAATAATCTAGTAATATTTCAGTTGAGTAATATAAGATAGTAATATGATATTGGTACTCCATCTAGTGGATATAATGTTGTTCTCTCCAGCAAACAAATGCCTCATTCACTGATTCTATTTCAGTTTGGCCTGTGAAAGAATTCCATCCTCCTATTAGCACCTAAGGCATTTATGTACAAATTAAAGAGAGCTAAGAATCATCTCATCATGAAGGGGATTCCAGAAAGTCTTGGGATTCACGTCTCAGATTGCCCTTGAAATTTTCTTCTTTCTTTGGAACATTGAGAAGGCAGAGTCTCAAACTCACAAATACAGAGAAAGGAATCCTCATCGCCATATGTGGCTCCTTTGCATTACTGCTCTTGCCTCCTACGTACAGAGTATGATTTAATACAGCACAAAGTAATCATAACTTAAATGTAGTTGGCTTCAAGACACATGGAGCCTGATTCCTACAGGTCACCTTCTAGGTGCTGTGTTGCTAGAGTGATCATCCATCCATCCATCCATCCCCAACTGGGTGGACAGTCCCACAATGGGAACCTCAAGTCCTGGTCCCAGGCTGCATGACTTCAGGACATCATTTTTCCTGGATGTTAAGTCTCATGCAGAGATCCACAGGAAATGTCAGGTTTCCCCCTGCAGACTGGCAGCATTCCAACCTGCAAGAGGCTGCTGGGAGTGGGATGCAGGGGTGCTATGTCACGTGCATGTGCACACCTGCATGTGGCCAGGAACACAGCCAGGCAGCCTGGAGAGCAGTTCCCAGCAGGTAAGTCTATGTGGGGGAGGGGATATGGGGGGGAGACAGACTGAGGCCCGCATGGTGAGGGAGGGAGTAGGGCAGGGGCTGGGGGCACTGCCCAGCCATGGCAGTGCATGGTGCCAGGGTGGTGAGCGGGACAGAGATGTGGGCGGCTTTTCCAGGGGCAAGGTGGTGGGGCATATGCCCCCCAGATTTGTGTATGGGACAAGGATGAATGTGGACTGTCTGCTGTGTGCTTGCGGCTCCCTGCCCTGCCTCTGGGGGCCCCAACTTGCTGCACCTCCATGACAAGTGCCTTCTGTCTGCCTGGCAGCAGCAGGGATGGCGGCAGCATAGAGTTGTGCCCCTTGCTGTTGCCAGGCAGGCAATGGGCATGTGGCTGGCATGGGGATCCCGAGGGAAAGGCAGCAGGGCGGGGAGTCCCGAACCCGCAGTGCGCAGCCCACATCTGCCCCCCACTCTGTTCTGCTCTGCTTGGCTCTGGTTATGCAGCAGTGGGGGGCAGGGGAGGAGGAAGGTGGACATGTGTCCTGCCTTCTCCTTTTGAAAAGGCAGTCTCTGTATGTGTTGCCTCACATGTTGCCTTCACGTGAGACATTTTACACCCATTCCCTGCCATTGCCAACACAGTTCTGATCCAGCGATGGTGTCAATGTCCAGCGGAGAGCAATGCAAATGGTTTGGGGGTGGGGGCACATGGCTTCTGAGGACAGGCTGAGGGAACTGGGGTTATTTAGTCTGCAGAAGAGGAGACTGAGAGGAGCTTTAATAGCAGCCTTCAACTACCTGAAGTGTGGTTATAAAGAGGATGGAGCTGGACTGTTCTCAGTGGTGACAGATGACAGAACAAGGAACAACAGTCTCAAGCTTCAGCAAGGGAAGTCTCAGTGAGATATAGGGAAAAGCTTTCTCACCAGGAGGGCAGTGAAGCACTGGAATGAGTTACTAGAGAGGTTGGACTCTCCATCCTTGGACGTTTGTAAGACCCGGCTAGACAAAGCCCTGGCTGGGATGGTCTAGCTGTGGATGGTGCTGCTTTGGGGTTGGACTAGAAGTGACCTCCTGAGGTCTCTTCCAACCCACATTTTATTTTCTGTGATGCGATGGGAGCACTATTGCAGCTGGACCACGTCGCCCCTGTGCAGGCAGCCCTGTTCTGAATACAAGCGGTCTCGGCCAAGCTCATGACACGCGTTTGCAGACTGGCCGTGGCCGCTGCCCCCGCCCCCATTCACTGAGCCTGGGCGCAAGGCACCAGCACCCGCTCCGCCCGGGACCCCGCCCCCATCACGGAACAGGGGCGGGTCCTGACTCGTGACGTCACACGTTCAGCAGCCGCCCCAGGCCCCTGGTGCGAAGGGCGAGTCCAGGCAACGCGCAGGTCCCCGACCCCCCGCAGAGCCCAGACACTACAAAGCCCAGCATGCCTCGGGGCTCAAGGGCGCATGCGCGGTGAGGCCGGTCAGGTGGAATGGCGGGGTTCGCGGAGCTGAACGTGCCGGCGCTGGCGGACAGGAAGGTGTTGCGGGGCGTACTGGAGGCGGCGGCGCGGCGTGAGTATCGGCCCGGCTCCGGGGGCTCCGTCTCCTGCTCGCTCGGGGCAGGCCCCTTCTCCCCCGTCCGGAAGAGCGCGGCCGTGGTGTAGACAGGGCGTCTGCGGCCACCAGAGCTCCAGGCGGCTCCTTTCGGTGGCCGCGCCCGGATCGGGCTGTGCCGCGCGGGGCAGGGCCCAGCTGCTGCCCCCAGAAGGGCTGAGCCAGGCCAGTCCCGGGCGGGGGGATGGCCCTGCTTTGAGCAGGGAGTTGGACTAGATGTGACCTCCGAGGTCCCCTCCAGCCTCATTTTCTGTGATCTTACGAACTTGGTAGGATGGGCGTGGAGCACTGAGGTCCTTTCTAGCTGAGCATTGGGCTTTGCAGCGCTGGCAGGTAGTGTGACAGATGCATATGTGGCTCTTGTATTCATAAGGGCCAGGCAATTGGAGGCAAGGCAGGAAATGGAGCAGGACTGAGGCTTGTGCAGGGTGTCCAATATGTGTCCTTAAAAGCAGTAGCAGGGGGACAGCAAAAGCCACTTCACGTTTTTGCTGGAAGCAGATGGGAGGCGAGACCTGCTCTGAAGCCCTCTGCTTGCCCCAGAGTGGTTCTCAGTCTTGACTAGGGTTTGCTTTTATTTTAATTTTTAAATGAACTTCTGCATTTAGGGGAAGCCAGTACGTGGAAATGCAAGTTGTGGGAAGCAAGAAGGATTCTGTCTAAGTGCAGGGCCACCCAGGTCATTATAGGCACAGTTGGGTGGTTTGAGTGGCACAGTGTCCCCCAGCTACATCCCTTGTATTCATGGGGGCAGAAAGTCTCAAAAGTTGTTTTGTTTGAGTCCCACATATCAGAATCTCATAGGTGTTTGTTCTTATGCAAGGATTCCAGAAAGTTTGAGCGATCTGACTTGTATAGGACTATGCATTTTCCAGGTCTGGCTTCTGAATGAGTCTTGGAGGCCTGAGCTTTAGTTCTACTTGTATTTGGCAGCAAGTAGAATTTTTTTCATTTTGAGGCATCATGGACATGATAGCGCTGCGTTGGACTTAGTAGAGTGCTGCTGTGAGACTACGCCCCTACTGCCTCTTCCACTCTATACGTACCACAGGCTGAAAAAGCGTCATGTAGTTGCCACTAATGTGGTACTCTATAATGTACCCAAAACAGCTAGGTCAGCATTTCTCAGCCCGTGAGTTGTGACCCAAAAGTGGGTTGCAAGAAGAGATGAAAAGGTCGTGAACAAACTTGAAAAATGGATTCTTCTTTAAAGGAGAAAAACGTGGGAAACTATGACTTTTTTTTTTTCCCCCCTTGCTTGCTGGCAGAGTTCTGGCCTGTGAGGTCCCCCCTCCACCCCTCACACCCACACCCCTGCTGCACACTGGGGGGATGGGTGCTGGGGGCAGCAGATTAGGAGTGAGGGACACTGGGTCGGGACTGGCCATTGATGTTTACAAATGGGTCCTGGTATCAAAAATTGAGAACCACTAAACTAGGTAACAAGAAAATGGGGTAGGTCATGTTCTTGCAGTAGCACTTGCCTCACTGGTGTGCTTGTGCCGTATAATTTTTTTTTTTTTTTAATTTCTGTTTCCAGAAAAGAGAATGTATCCCAATCATCCTTGTACAATCAAAATGATAAATGTATGTGAACCTTAAAATGTTTCTACTTTGATTTCTTTCTATAAAATTGTTAATATTTTGCAACTTGATTCAGTTTTTATAAAGTGTTTATATTTTCTAGTGGGATACTCAACTGTTGCAGTTAACCATGTCATTGATTTTAAAGAAAAGAAACAGGTAAATGTTTGTTTTGGTATTTTATTCTTTTTTATTTTTCCAAGTAACATACTTCATAATTATTTGTCCTCAGATAGCCTTCTCTTTAAAGTACTCATCTACATGTATATACAAACTTTTTGTTCATTACGAAGTACCAGTTTAGAACTCCATCTTTCTACTAGTCCTTCTGTTTGGACTTAAATTTTGCTTCCCATAAATTCAGTACACTGCATGAACTGTCCATAAAGTTCTAGTTTTGTTTGTTTGAAGTGCAGGTTCCTGTTTTAGAAAAATGTATGCAGCTTTTATTTATATTGAGAAGTTGGCTCATTAAGTTTTTAAACACTTGTTTTTCATTTCCAGGAAATTCCTAAACCGATCTCTCCTTCAGAACTGCTTCCATCTTTGCCTATAATACCGGTATGTCAGTTTAAATGCCATCTACGTGTAATGGTTTATGGAATATATTTGTATTCTAGTGTGTTTGTGTGTACAGTTCTCATATCATGCCTGAGTTGGAGAGAACCTTTTTCAATGTCTGATTTACTAAAATAACTCTGCAGCAACAGAAAACCAATACAATCTAATGTACAGTACGTTCTAATGTTTTTCATCATATAGTTTATATGATATGGGAACAAATGTGCTCAGGCCGAACTTGGAAGCTACTTCTAGTTAAACATTTCTATAGTTGAAGTTTTAAGAGGTTGAGTTTTAGGGATGATTTCCCAAGTTAAATTACCAAACTTTTTTTTATATCCACAGAGTACTTTTAATTAAAAAACAAAACAAAACAAAACTACTCTTATCTGTAGAACAGTGGTCATTCTATGGCAACTGGATATAGGGCTGTGCAAAACAGCTGTTTTGATGCCATTTCGGAGGACAGTGATAAGTTATGTCTCGCAGTCCTGTTTCGTTTTGGCCGAATCTGTTTTGAACAGGCTGCCAGGGAAGCTTTGCACAGCCCTACCTAGCCGGGCTGGGGGCTGCAGGGCCCCAGCAGGGAGCAGGATGGGGCCATGGCTGGCTCATCCGTGGGAGGGCTGCTGCCCTCTGAGCAGATGAGGAGACCCCTGTGCAGATCTGATACCTCTCACACCAAGTCATGGGGCAGGGAAGCAGCGCAGAGCAGCGAGCAAGCCTGCTGGTCCCTGCTGCGTGACTGAGCTCCACAGGGAACAGAGATTTGCTCTGGGGGTCTCCTTGTTGCTGCTGCTCGACCTGCGCTGCCTTGGCAACATGGGGCTGTGCGGGGTGAGCAGCTGTGGCAAGGAGACCCCAGTGTGGATCTCTGCTCCCTGCAGAGTCAGGTCATGCGGCAGGGATTCCCCAGCTCTCTGATCATTCCCCCAGCTCTTCGGGGGGGCGGGGGGCGTGGGCCCCCAGATCTGTATGCTGGGTTTCAGCAGCTGCCTCTTAAGGCTGGGGCCAGTGGCAAGACCGCAGTTTTCCTGATGCTCAGTGCGGACCGTGCCAAGCGGCTGCCACTGGCCCCAGCCTTCAGTGGCAGCCTGCTGAATCCCCATGTGCAAATCAGGGGCCTGTGCCCCCTGAGAAGAGCTAGGGAAATGATTGGAGAGCTGGGGAATTGAACCGGGAACTAGATGTCAATATCGGAGCAGTCAATTCTGCCCCCCCTTTCCCTTCCCTCCTCTTAGTTTTTGTTTCCCTGCAAGCCCGACTCCGAAATGAATCAGAGCCTTCCAATTCATTTTGGAGACTTCCATTTCGATTTGGTGTTTTGGGCACCAAAATGGCCCAAAACACCTCTGAAACAAAACGGCTGCCGAAATTTCGCACAGCCTAATTGGATACCAGAATATGCTCAGTTATTCTGCTGTGTGATGTTTAAAACAGAAATAAAGTTCAAAGGAATGTAAGAAGTCATCAATTTCTAAGCAACGTGGAGTATGTCAACAAAATATTAAAATTAGAAAGGTAAAAATATGTTGGTCTAGTTACAAATGAGAAATAAATGAGTATAGGTAAGAAATGAACAAAGTAGCATTCTCTGTTTATAGTAACGGGAATGAAAAATCAATCAGCTACATCTTTGCTGTGTCCCTTTTCAGTAGTCACTTAGACATATTTTGCTTACAGGGAAAATTGAAACCAATCAAAATTGTAACCCGACTAACGCTTGTAGTTTCTGATCCGTCTCACTGCAATGTGTTGGTAAGTATTGAAAACTCGTGATATAATTTTATAGTTTGCAATCTATTTATTTATTTTCACATTGAAATAATGTAACTTTTTTGATATTTTACAGGAACTTTTACGTTTTTCGTGAAAAACATTGCACTAAATTTTTCCGAGATTGACATCTTATGATTACATTGCTCTCTAAAGATACCACTTTAGTAAACTGGAATATAATGTGCACTGGCAATTTACTAAGGGCATAGGCTGCTGCCAAGATACTTTGATTCTATTCCCAGGCTCTTACTTTTGAGTTCTCAGCCTATAGCAGATGCTAGAATGCTGTTGAAAATCCTTGTGACAGAGTGGGTGAAGAAGTGTTAAAACATGAAATAATCACTCCTGCTCTTTAGTTCAGTTTTGGCATAATACCAGTAAGACTGATTTTTTTTTTTTTTTTTGCTTAACATTGTTCAGCTTAAATTTCAAAGCCTCTCCTTTTGCTGTTGAAAAATGCCACGTTGAATTGGGGGAAGGTTTGCTAGGTGTTCTTATCTTGGGTGGGAAGAGGACTTACAAAGCATAGTAACAGTAATATAAGGGGATACCTATGACTTACAAGGCAAACATTTCCTACCACTGTACTTGTGAATGGGATGACACCCAGAATGACAGCAGTGAAATGCTTGAAAGGCAAGATAGAGACTCATCTTTATAGAATAGCTAAATAAGATATGTATGAAAGCAAGCTTTCATAAATCTAAGTTTACTTTGTCAACAGCAGCAGTTAGAGTATTAATAGGAATGGCTTGTTTTATCTCATAGTTGGGGATGTTTTTTCTTTTCTTACCTATTTGTTCTTTCTGAAGTTATGCTAGTGCATGTCTCCACTACCTGTCATAATTTAAGCCATTCTTTCTTCCTTTTTTTGTTAGAGGGCAACATCTTCAAATATAAGGTTATATGACATCATAGCAGTGTTTCCAAAGACAGAGAAACTCTTTCATGTAAGTAGATGAGTTTTCTTGAAATTGCAAGTACAACTGTAAATGTTGAAATAGTTTGATGGTTTTGAGTGGATGAGTGTGTTGGTTGGATTTCATCTAAAAATTTCCAGTATGCTTTTTGAGCATTCTTGCAGTATAACTGGTGGTGTGGAGTAGACATCCATTTGGCTGTATTAAGGCATAAGAATTTAAAAAGTCTGCATCAAACAGGAACTTTCCAAATTCTAACATCTTCCCCAGCATATGTTTGCTTTTTCAATGAGCAGCAGTTGTTTTAGAACTCAGGACTCATTGGGGCTGTGTGTTGACTGACTGATGGAAGGTAAGATGTCTGCAGTGGGGTTTTATGGGTTATTCTCTCTGTCTGTCTTACTGATTTAACACCCACAAAACTTGTGGCTCTTACTGAAAATCAAATGGGGAAAGAGCAGCTTTGTTTTTTTGTTTGTTTG